TTTTTTTCCTTTTTTTTTTATTGATTGATTGATTGATTGGTGGGGAAGGGGTCGCCCTTCCTCCCCGCACACACACACACACACACACACACACACACACACACACACACACACACGCGCATTTTTTATTATTATTATTATTTTTTTTTTTGATTGATTGATTGATTGATTGATTGGTGGGGAAGGGGTCGCCCTTTCCCCGCCCCCACATGCACACACACACACACACACACGAAAAAATAAAAAATTTCCTTTTTTTTATTATCTTTCTTTTGATTAAAATACATGTTTTTTGGTTTTCGATTTTTTTAAAATAAGAAAACACTTTAAAATCCGAAAACAAAATTACCGCGTAGTAGGGCTCTTCAAACCCTACAACCCCTTTTTTTTTTTTTTTTTTTCTATTATTTTTTTTTTTAAATGTTTGAAATTCTCGGCCGCACCCAACCGCAGGGCCGACCTCAGCAGTTGGGATCACGACCTCAGGCCGAGATGGACCCCGCGGTCATGACCGAGGGGGATACATAGGTGGCGGCCTCTTCGAGCCAGTTCGAGTCGTGACTACCGTCGCACTGACGGGGTTCCCTCCACTACTCACCAACTGTGCGCAATAAGCCTTCCAGTTATAGCACGACCAGATACCTCGTCACTAGCTCCGTCAAGTTAGCGCATACTTAGCACCATAGCTCGACCTTTGGTTCATCCTGCACCACCAGTTTTTCCTTACCGCCTGCCGGCCCGGCGGTGCGTAGCCTGACGACGCCCAAAATGCGGGCCGATGCGTTACTCCTGAGGTAAGTACACTCTCCCTCTCTCTCTCTCTCTTTCTCTCTCTCTCTCTCTCTCTCTCTCTCTCTCTCTCTCTCTCTCTCTCTCTCTCTTGTCGAACCCGCCGGCAGCAGCGACCACCACTGCGACGGTGACTAACACCAGAGGCGACTATGTAAAACGAGGATGAATCTCCCCAGAGATGCGAGAAGGTACATTACAACTTAACGTAGCATCAATTTTTATTCCTGGGCGCAGCTCCTACGTATCGTGGCGTCCAGATCGTTGCCCTTCCTTCAAATCCGTCTCTACCAACGCGTTCGCCCCCTCTCAAAACCCCGAAATTGCACCTTCACTCGCCCGTTTTCATCAAGACACAGGCAAGCTGCACTCGCTTCCGTTTTTGCCCCACCACCTTCTCGCCGTCTCCGCGCACATCCTCTTCCTCCTTACTGACCTGCTAAACAACTAGCCACCAAACTAACACTTCCCCTACGCTCGCCCGGTCTAAGAACCCGTATCCATCACTTTTCCCCGTTTGCTTTCTTTAAGGGTCGAGCGGGGTACAGCAGCTTACTCCCGCCATAGCCTCCCGACCTCGTTGCCTTCTTCTTTATCTTTGAACGTACCTGGCGCGCGCTCACGTCCAGGTTCACTCCTATTCAGCTGTCATCCCCTTCGTTCCTCCTTTGGCCCTCTAACTCCTCTTTTCATCCTCTTGTACACTACCTCTCCCTTTCTTCCACCTCCGTCGTCTTCACCTTCGTCTACCCCTCCGCTGCCCTCCTAGCGCAGCTCCCTATGGCCAGCCTGATCGAAGGAACATGCCGTAGGAACAACAGCCCGATGTTGGCCACAACAAGCGAAAGAGTCAGGCTGTTCCTCGACTTTATACCCCCCTGCGCAGGGGCCATGCTAATCTTCTCTGTATCGTTCCAATTTTAACGAATGTCCCGAAGGACATCGACTCAGTAGTGGCATCCCGTCAGCAGTTCGTGGGTGTATCCACTGAACTAGGCTGCCGGGCTTCACTGCAGGTCCCGGTGCCGGTACCGAACTTCGCCCAAATAGAGAGAGGAAAGAAAAATATAAAAAATTAAAAATAGGAAAAATAAAAATAAAAATTTAGAGATTAAAAAAAAAACAAAAAAAAAACGGATGGGGGAGAGGACTGTTGGTACTTGGTCCTCGGCCTTGCCCCGCGGGCCCGCGGTCGGATCTCCCCCGGAAAAAGCCAAGGGGGATAGTCCCACGGAACCCTCAACCCCTCGGCTCACTCCGACGCGCTGCTCCGCTGCTCTGCTGCTCGCTGCTGGCCTAGATCCCGGGATCCACCTGGTGACAGTTCAGTGACGTAACCTATAGGGCTAAGCCCCAGCCTGCCCATCCCTTCAAAGAGGTACCAAGGCCACAGCATGACCTACTCCCCCAGTCCATGGCCTTGTAACGCCGTGCTCCGCTGCCTCGAGGGTAAGGCTTCGCTTGGCTCACCATGCGCGCCGCCTCACCATGCCGCGACCACGGGCCAAGGCTCTTATGGCCTACCGCGACCGCCCTCTTACTGCCTTTTTGCCGGCAAACCCTGACTTTCGCTCTAGTTTGTGTCGTTCCTAACGGCGGCTCCTACTATTGGCTAGGCATGGTCAACCTAGTACCTGCGAATATTTCACACGGCGCCGCTCTGAACGTCGGCCTCTAGTAATTCAGCCAACATCCTCCTCTAGTCACAACTTTACCTGGTCAACGCGACGCTGCCTGTAACTTCGCCTGTGCATGCGAGGCTGCGACCGCCTCAGAAAATCTAGCCTGACACTTACTTGTCCTACCGGCGTCTCATAGTCTTCCTTGATCAATCGCTTGGTCCGGCTAACGCGTGCCCGCAAAGTGCACGCTCACACACTCTGTAGTCAACACAAATGGGACGCGCCCCTAGATATCGTCAGGCGCGTTCTTCCTGTAAGCTGCAAATATGTGCCCAAATACCCTTGTATGGGTGTTCGGGCCGACAATTTTCCGGACCTTATTAAGCGACGTCCCCATCGCATCGGACAATCAAAGCTATAAACACAACCACATCTGCTGACGAGGAAGTAACCATTCCGATTCACCGGCTCGACTCCGTTCGAGGTATTCTTATCAACCTACTCCCGTCATGGTGTTCCTCTGCCAGGGTTTCAACCTGGGTCTCCCACGTCCTGGCCTCGGAGTTAGGGGATACTTTGTTCCGTACTACAGCGTACTACCCGCTCCCAGGTAGCAGATTGACAGTCCTCTCCCTTCGTCGTAGACATCTGCCGGTTCACCGTTGGGTGTCCTGTTTAGTCATCGTCCCGCGAACGGGGTCATAACTTAGGACGTGGGCCCTAACGGAGACCTCTCAAAGTATGGGGCACCTTTAATCCCCTAAATGGTAATGCTTACCATCTCAAATATCCAATCATAATGAACGCCCATCCTGAAGTCTAACACAGGTGGCTTCAGGTCTCCATCTTGGCCCACCATGGAACGGTCGATCACGCCGAATCCACGGCCCACCGCGTTGTTATGTAGCGATGGTACCCTCGTTGGTTACGCAACGATAAGCAACTCTTCCTATCTTGGTACCCCGAAGGATCCCGACTCTTGACTTAATCGACCCCAACGACTTTCCCTCTAGCTAAACCTCTCCGGGCGGCCGACCCTTCAAGACTTAACCTTTGGTAAGCCTTGGTCCTGCTGCCAGGTTGCGCCGGTCAGCGGCCCTCGCTGGGAGTTAGGTTCTACAGTTCCAGCGATGCTAAGTATAGCCCCTTAGCTTGGCCTCACAAAATATGTCCCTTTGACTGACCTCATTGTGGTCTGACACTTTCTTCCAAAAACCTTCAGAACACCCAAAGGATCACATACCAACTGCCCACGGGACTACGTGGAGGGATAATGCCTTTCTCAATCATTTCAACAAAGTCCTCAATAATTCCACAGGGTCGTGCCTCCCTTACTTTGATCAACAGTAGGCGAGGTCACACGTCTTTTAGGGACACCTCTCAAAATATTTTCCAAAGTTCCATCATAATTGCCAGAAATTTCTCTCCATTCTTCTCACAAAATATTTGGTCTTTCCTCGTCAGACTTTACATGCATACAAAAGTTATCATCAATATAGCATCTCTTTTGAGTGCTCGATTCTTGACGTTCCTTCAAATCCACTCTCGGCTCAGTCTCAACCATGGTCTGACCCACGCTCTCCTGACCCTCCTGTCGTCCCATGGCCTCTCCCAGAGTTGTAGGTGGAACTACCTCAACTCTCATTGCCTCTGCTGGTGACCTCTCTTCTGGCATCGCCGGTCCTTGTCCAAGTGTCAGACCAGCTGGCATCCTCCACTCAAATTCTCCTACCTCTGAGCTCCTTTCAGCTAGTTCTCCTCGCGGCTCCAACATCTCCTTGTCCATTAGAGGAATTTCTTCACCTTCCTATTGGTCCGCCTTTTCTTCTTCCTTCTGGAATCTGAAGACTTCTGCTGCAAGTCGCTCCCTGATCCCAAACCCTTGGACCTCTGTCCAATCCACCACTGCAGGTGGAGCCTGTTGCGTACACTCGGCCTCAAGGTCTTGTATCGTCTTCTCCCACTCAGCCTCCTTTGCTTGGAAAGAGATCTGCTGCGCTTGGAGGTAGGCCCTCAGGACGTCATTGACCTTATTAAGGGTCTGGTTGACTTGCCTGATGGCCTCGTTCTCTGCCCAAACCTTCTCCATATCTGCTCTCACCTCCTGCACCTCTTTGTTCTGTCTTCCCAAATCCTTCTTCAAGTCTCCAATCTCTCTTTCCCATTCCACCCTCTGGCCATATACGTTTTGAGCCACCTTCGTCAGCCTCTCTCCAACTTTCTGATCTGACGCTCTGGCTGCCACAAAGCCTTCCATCATCATGCCTCTCAGGTTGAGTAAGTCTGTGGAGACTAACTTAATCCCTATCTCCTAGTGGTGCCCTCCAGACTTCCCTGCAGCTTCCATCAGCTTGTCAAAGTTGACCCATACCTCTGAGAATAGGGGAAGGTCCTCTTCCTGAGTGCGAGTACCTTTACCACCTTTGTCATCCACCTCCTCAGGCTCGTTTCCTTGCTCCATCCTCTCATGCAGCTCTGCAAGGTTCTTCATCCTGAGCTGAACCTTGATCTCTTGATCTCTTGCCGCTCTCTCTTTCCTATCTAATTCCTTCTCCTGGGCAGACTGCTCCTCCTTGCGCTCCTGCACATGTGGCTCATGAGGCTCGTCTGGCTCTATGTCCGGCATAGGACAATCCACCTCTCTCTGAGTAGGCTGTGGAGGCACCCCTGGACCACCTGACCCTCCTGCTCCCTCGTACTTATGGGGTCTGTGCTCCTTCCTCCTGTCCTCCCTCTGAGTCCCTGAAGACATGCCTTGCTCAAAAGTCCTTCTTTCAGCCGCCTCTGCTTCCCTCCTCTTTTCCAGACTCCTTCGTTCACGTGCCTGACGTGCTGGAGCATAGTAGTTCCAGAGCAGCTTCTTGCAGTGTCCCCAACTCATAGCAGGCGCCACAATGGATTTGACGAAGGATCTGATGTGTCGTCTCACATACAGGAGGAAACTTCCCATCCTCTGCTCTCCTAAAATATCCAGCTCATCCGCATATCAGTCATAGGCCCAAAGGAACTCCCCCAGATTAGTGGAGTCAAATCGAATGGGCTGTCCATCTCTTCCCACTGGCGACAGGTGCAAACCCTCCATCTTTCTCTCAAAATCCTGCCAGGTTAGGGATTCCCTGACAAGATTGGCAATGGGGTCTGTCCACTCGCCTGTGCCTCGCACCTCTCTCAGCATCCTAGTGCCGTCCCATCCAAACTCCCGAGCATGCCTCTCGAACTCAATCAGGAACAACTCAATGTTCCCTCCCTGGAAAACTGGAGGCCTGTCCTCTCTCCTGGTCCCCATCTGCGTCCTTTGTCTGGTTGCCTCCAAAGGGGTTTCCACTGGCTCTGCCCCTCCCCTCCCTCTTGGCATGGCTGCCCCAAGCGGTGTCAAACCTGTATAACAAGGAGGAGACAAACAGGAGCACACAGAGGGTAAGCAGGTTGGACAAACACAACAGGAGACAGACATAGCCCTCCCACAACTATCCCAACTATCTGCCTACATACATATGCATACATATATACATGAGTCCAACCAAAAAGTCACAACCTGTCACGCTATTCTACTGCGGACAATATCCTATACGTTCTACTTATACTATTGTTTCTATATAAAGTACTCAGAGAGTGACTCTAGTTGGTGAGGTCCATGCTCACCTTGTCTCGAGCAACGAACTTCTTTAATCTCGAGTCTGACACCCAGTCCTTCCATGCCGTCCCATTTAACTCCTCAATCTGGTAGGCTCCGTGGCCCTGTACGGTCCCAACCACCTCTTGTCCAGCTTCCGTGACCACTGCTTCTCCAGGGATGAGTCGTATAGTAGCACAATGTCTCCCACCTGGAGAGGCTCTTTCCTTACCCTTGCCATCTTATCCCACCTGAACTTATCCTTCGTACGGCTGTCCGCCACCCTACTCGCCGCTCCCTCAATTTTGTCCTCTATAGCGTCAATCTTACGTGCCCTTAAGTCAAGCAGTTCTTCAAACGTCAGATTAGTCTCGAGGTCCTGCCGCCTCCAGGTCTTTAGGAAGCTTTCGATAGGAAACGTCGCATGCCTGCCATACCATAGCGTTGTTGGTGCGTAGCCGGTGCTTCTCCTGAAAGTAATATTATCCACGAAGAAGGCAACCCTTAGAAAGTTCGGCCACTGATTGGGCCTGCCATCAGTCCATTTGGCGAGAAGATTTGTGATGGTGCTATGCCCTCTCTCTATCGGTGCATTAGCTTGAGGGTGTGTTGCAGTAATGTACTCGGCGATCACCCCATACCTCTTCAAAAGAATCTTCTGCACAGGTGAACTCGGACCCTTTATCCATCACGAACCTGGAGACAAAGGGGTAACGCAGGTAATATTCTTCGATGCATCGGGCCAGCGTTTCCCCAGTCTTCGTGCGAATGGCGCGGCCATCCACAAATCCAGAGAGGTTGTCCCGCGCATCGAAGATAAAGTTGTAACTCCTTATCCCCAGCGACATTGCCAACAGATCCAGGTGTACGACCGCTCCAACCTCACGAACGAACCTTGGGTGCAGCGGCTCTCTAGGTCTAAGAGAGGTACACAAGATTTACAATAGTCATCGATCATCTGTCTCATGCCATCCCAATAGTATAGTTCGTGTATCTTGAGATATGCCGTATCTGCGCTTCTGTGGCCACCTGCCGTACCATCGTGCAGTGCCGCCATAACGTCAATCTGGCGAGCGGCGCCGCAGACTACTCTTCTGGGAGCCTTCCCTTTGCTTCTCATGAATAGATGGTCATCCCTTACTAGAAAGTTTGGCCTCATCTTCAGAATCCTCGCGCAAGCGTCCCTTTCCCTCATCTCACACGACAGAAGCATTTCGAGTTCAAGGTATACTCCTTCATATTCCTCTGCTCGAAATGCTTCCTTAATCTCTCCTTCTTCAAAATCGTCGTCTTCTCTTTCGTGGACCACATTATCACCCTCTTCTTGATCTTGCACCATATTCCTGACCACCTCTTCCTGAAGCAGTGCATTCGCCAACAGATACACCCCACCTATCGTCTTCTCCTGCTTGTCCTATTCCTGACCACCTCTTNGTCTTCTCCTGCTTGTCCTATTCCTGACCACCTCTTCCTGAAGCAGTGCATTCGCCAACAGATACACCCCACCTATCGTCTTCTCCTGCTTGTCCACCTATAACGCCCCATCCTCAATCGTGAGCGGGTCCTCATGCAGCTGGTACTTGCCTGCTAACGCCAGCTCCATCATCCAATCCACGCCTGACATTCCCCAAGAGTCTTCTTCAATATAGGGCTTGAGGACTAGGTCTGGTCGTCGTACATGTCCTGGTGGCGTAAGTCACACAGGTCGCCCAGGAGTAACATAGTTACCCACGACCAATGACCAGGAGTTGATGTGAAGCCTCACATCCTCCTCACTGTCCAGGAACCCGTCAACTGGTGGAGCATCCTCGATCACTCCCTGATTGTTCTTGTCCCAGTCGACTCGACTCAGCCCGTCTGCTCTATTCTTGTTCCCCGGAATTCGCTTCAACTCGAAGTCGAACATCCGGATGTACGTTAGCCACCTGGCGATGGTCGGATCCGAAGGAGCGAAGTTTTTGAGAGAGCCAGCTAGAGCAGTTGGGTCCACCCTCAGTACAAACCTGCTGCCGAAGAGGTAGTTTCTGAAACTCCTTAAACAGTGAAGAATTGCCAAGGTTTCGCGCTTAAACTGAGAGTAGTTCCTCTCAGCTGTATGAAGCATCCGACTCTCAAACCTTAGCGGTCCTTCTTCCCCATTGGGGTCTCGTTGAATCAACACACCTCCTAAAGCAGTTGACCCTGCGTCCGTTTCCACAATGAAGGGCCTGGTCATCACCGCCGCATGATCTGGTACCCCCAGTACTAGACCTCCTTCCTCAAACTCTTTTTTCAGACCTTCTATCACCGATTCTTGCCTATCTCCCCATTCCCAATCTTGGTCCTGACGCACAAGCTTTCGCAGATGCTCAGTCTTCGCCGCAAACCCTTTTATGAAGATCCTCCAAAATCCGCATGTTCCCAGAAAGCTCCTCACCTCCGTGATAGTCTCGAACCGTGTTGGCCATTCGAGAATCTTGTTGGTCTTCTTAGTATCTGGCCGACGACCCCTCTCGTCGCACACAAATCCTAAGATAGTGGCCCCGCTCATGCAGTGCCTCGACTTTGGCCCACTGGCAGTGAGGTTATGCTCCTTTAGTAGGTCCAGGACTTTGCACAAGTCTTGCACATGATCATAAACAAAGCGTCTAATTCCCGGCCTCACCTCCTGCTCTTCCTTCTCCTTAGGCCCTTTCACGGCCAGATCATTAATATAGGGCTGCGTAATGTGAGGACTTATGGGTTGCGTCGCCCTCACCATGTGCCTCTGGACCATGACAACCACATTCGTCCACCCCTGCGGTACGACGTTCATGTGGATCAACCCTCGAGGAGTATGCATGGCCGTCATTGGTCTGTCAGATGGGTATACAGGAAATTGATCGTAGCTTGAGTATAAGTCTATGAGAGATATTATGGCTCTTCCGGCTCAGGCCTCTGAAAGCGCGTCGGCGTTGGGGAGGCCACCTGCGTCTCTCACAGTTACAACGTTCAAGCGCTGTAAATCCTGTACCCACCTCAAAGTCCCATTGGGTTTAACAAAGCAAAACCAGGGGGATGCATATGGTCCACTCGAGTAGTCTGCCACATGTGTGCGGATTTTCCCATCAAGGTATTTAACTACCTTCTTTTCATCAACTGGATTAGGATACCGCGCACCTCACAAGTTCCATGGCTCGTGAGGCACGGTGTGTATCCTAATCATCGGGATTATATCCACGTCCAGACGACCTCTCTCATCATCACTGAAGGCATATGCAGCGTGTCTTCCTCTTATGGTTTCCACCATAAGCTTTTCTTCCTGCGTTGTAAGGAAGCCAGACTCTCCTATAATCAACGCCTTCTCTGTCTCAGGGGTGATACACGGACCATTCTCCATGTTTTCTCGCATCTGCCGTATCATCTCTCGTTCCCGCTCGTAGTAAACTTCTTGCTCTTCGGCAATGAGTACGGGAACAGGGCGGCATTTCTGATCTACCCTTTTGTACCGCCTTTGTGCCCCCTGCTTGAGCCCATCCCTAAAAAAGGCCGAGTTGCGCTTTGGGGCTGTGCTCCAATTGCTCCGCTTTTCCTTCCTGGTGTCCGGTACATCAACTCCATTTCTCCTGCTCCCATCTATTCCACCACCTTTTCTCGCAAGGCCTCCACAACCTTTGGATCCGCCATCCCATAGGTCGACACTATGTCCATAGCATCCCCTATATTCGCTAGGCTAAGGGTTAGTGTCTCTGGCCCTCTTTCCTCTTCAATCCTACTGCCTTCCAATCTCAATCTCTCCTCTTCTGATTCTTCAATCGTGAAAGAACCAGGGTTAGCCCGGTTCCTTATACTCCTAGGTCCTGTGTTCTTGCAAGTGATGACCTCATAATTTTCGCATACTGGATCGCACAGGACGAGGAACATAGTCTCGTCATGCTTGTTGAGTATGACGGTCTTTGTTCGGCTCAGGAACGACCTACCCAATAGAATAGGGTGGTCAAGATCAGGCATCACGAAGAAGCAACTCCTTACTTTCACTTTCCCGATTTCCAGAATTATTGATGATGCGGTCCCTATGAACACCGATCGACTATTCGCCCCCATCAAGACCCCATTATCAGAACGATCTACTTCCATCCCTAGGCGCAAAGCATGCTCCTCCTTTATAAGGTTCATCTTCGCGCCACTATCCACCATCGCTGTACATGTCTTTCCCTTCACCACTACATCTAGGCACCCACATGCGACCGACTTCCAATCCATCTTGGTACCTATCTCAGCCCATTCCGCCTCTTTAGGGATTATGTTCCCTAATCGTGCACTAGCCACCATCTTTCTAGACAACCGCGCTTTCAGCTCATCCCTGAGCTTTGGCGCCGAGGCCAGGACGTCGTTTAGGTTCATAAGATGGTTATGACCCTCAAGGATCCTGTCCATGATCTCCTCTACGTCAAACCCCTCCTCTACTCGGACGGCGTACTTCTTTTTCTTTACCTCTGAGACCTTATCCGTGTCAGGCTTGGCACCTCTTTTTTTGGACCGCTGCTCAGCCTTCTCATCCTCTTCTTTTCTCAACCTGTCATCCTCATCATCCTCTCCCTCTGGAACATCTACCACCTCTTTCTCCCCACTGGGCTCAGGAACATCCTTTGCCGGTTCCTCGGGGTTCACCGTACCCTTGGCCCTTGTCCTGACAGCATGTGGTACTCTCCCTATTCTGGAGGGTGGCCTATAAGCCATGCCGGACCGAGGCGCCGGTCTCGAAATCGTGACGCCTGGTAAGTTCCCAGACCCACCTTGCGACCCTGGACCCATATCGTATAGGTACATAGTGGCTCCTTACCTCTCCACTCCTCAACCTTTTCACACATATTGGTTAGTTTCTGCTGGTACCACCCTACTTTGGCCACTAAGTCCTCCATCCTTTCCATCGTCTGTCGGGCCTCCCTCCAACAGTCTTCTCCTGTCTTTGCGTGTCGGGGCTCATTCCAATAGTCCTCCTCTATCTCGTCATCCGACTCCACTATGATCGGCTCTCCCTTGATGGTATCGACTTTCCTTCCTTGCTCCACTTCCTTATTCTCTCCTACGTCCTCTACCCTGATGTCGCAGCGGACCTCTTTCTCTTGCCACATCCGGAACATAGCCGGAGGAGCGGGTGGCGCGCCGGCCTCGGCCCTGCGTAGGGCTTCCTTCCTCGTACCGCCAGGGATCTTTGGGTCAAGGTAGTACCCAAATTCGTCGTACATGTCCCCATCATAGTTGGTACTGATTAGACCTTCATCCTCATCGTTCCTTCGAACATGGCAGAACTTGATGGTATGGCCTTTCTGCCCGCAATGCCAACAAATAGCATTCCTCCAATTTATTCTCCCTCTGCCATATCCGCGTCCACCTTCTTGACTGCCCTGGCTTCCTGACGCATTCCAGTTCCCATTTCCTCCACCTGTGGAGTTACCACCACCATTTCCTCTTCTGTTTCCTCCGCGGCCACCATTCTCTCGCCCTCGGCCCCATCCTTGGTTCTGTGTGCGTCCGCCGCCTTGGTTTCCTTGTGATCCTTGTGGAGCCGACTGCTGAGGTTGGCTTGGCTGCGGACTCGGGTGGCTTACCTGCTGAGACTGGGGTCCTGGATATCCGCAGGAAGTCGTGCTTAGGAATTGGAGGTTCATAACCCGGCCACGGCCCATAGGGTGCTGGCGCGGCCTGACCATGCGACTTAGGTGGTGGCATTGCCGCTGCCTGTGGGACCTGACCTCTTCCTGAGCCTTGTCCGCCTTGGGCCAGATTCTTCGCTTTTCTCTGAGCCTTCGTTAGTTTTTGAGGCTCAGGTTCTTCTTCCTCTTCTTCTTGTACCACGGCTTTCTTTGCTTTCCTTTGGACCTGCGGAGCCGCCATAGTCTTCTTTGCTGCCTTCGCCTCTTTCGCCTCATCAAGTTGGGCGACCGCATCCTCTACCATTTTCTTAAAGTCTCGCCCGTCACTCGCCGTGGCGTCCAAGGCCTTCCTTTTCTTCCTAGCCTGTCGCATTTGGAAGATGTCCACTTGATCCAACTTTCCATCTATCACGCCTTCTTTTATGGCAGCCCAAGTCAACTTCTTCCCCGACGCAGCCTTCTTGGTTAGCGCAGAGGCCTCCCAATTCTTGAAATGCCTCAGGAAGGTTGCGCACTGCTCTTCTTCAGCCAACCCTGGGACTTTTCTTGCCATCTTTTCGAATGCCGTTATGAAAGCCCCCACCGTGGAGAACTCATCTCTCTGCAACATTTCTAGGTCTGTCTTCGTTAGCAGACCATCCCCTAGCTTGAAGCGCCTTTGCATCTCTCCTTTGAACTTAGCCCAATCTCCGCCTGCTCCGGCAGCCACTTTCATTATCTCGGTCCGGATTTCCCACCAGACGTATCTGGGTAGTAACTTGAACTTGTCCTCATCCGACGCCTTGCCTGTAACTTGTTCTAACAACTCTAGCCATTTAGACACCCTCGCCCCTTCGAACCAGAAGATGTCAACCTTCGGTACTTGTAGTCGTGCCAACTCCCTTTTCTCAAGGGCCTTGACAAAGTCTGCCGGCGTAGCTGCTGGGCCTCGCTCGATTCTATCCGCGTCCGGCATCTCTATACCCTTTGCTAACCAACCTGTTAGGAAAAAAGATAGTCCATCAGATAGCTTTGTTAAGTTCTAGGGGACTTGTCCTAAGTCCTATCTGGTCGTTCCACCTCTAATGTTTCATTGATCACTCTACAACTAATCATTCAAAGCCCCAGATACAACCTTAAGTCACACTTCTAATCACTTAGTCTTATTATTATATCATACGCAATCCTCTTATATAAACTAGTCCAAACCATAAACTTTTGTCGTTTTGCCTAGATCATCACCCTGCACTTAACCTGGGTTCGTTCTCTTAAGGACCCCGGTAGGCAGCCGAGATCCTCGGCAACAACGCCACCTATCGGGCCCATCGGTCCCGCACGGGGACCCTCCCGGCCGCGTCACGCAAGATTATGCAGAACTTGTTGCGGAGAGCGTTTGCCGCTCCGGCCGAGTGCGCCAGCCGTACCTCTCGCGAGCCCCTACGACAGGACAGGATCACGCGAGGCACCGCTTACCTCCACCTACGGGAGCTGTCACCATCCCTTAGGTGGGCGTATCCCTGTCGAGCTACTGAACCACATGCGAAAGCTTTTCGTATGCCATTGCAGAGGTGGCCCAGCCGAGGGCGTTTCTCATTCGCTGTAGCAAAGGGGGTTACGCGCGGTCGAACGCCCAAAAATCGAACCCGCACGCAAATCGAGGTACTGGGGGGCTGAGGTCCCAAACGCGACTCGGCGCCGGTCGACTAGGACGCGTCACACACACCACGCGTTACACCACAACACTCACATCTCCCCATACATAACACATAGAAAAACACAAAACAAACACAACATCACAACACTCCTAGTCCCTTTAGTATCCGACCCATAACGTTATGCCGCGAGAATTATATAGGTATCGTGTGCTGGTTTTTCGTATAAGAGCCGTGCGCGCGCATGACCTCCTCATATCTACCAACCATGCGGGCATTCGCAAGCACTCGCGCTGATGGGGTACTACGTGGTACTCGTAACGGCGCGGCCCTTGACAATCTCGAGGGTCGTGCTTGACACTCGAGTGTCGGCTGACAAGCGCGTTGAGAGGTTACCTTCTCGGCGCTAGACAACCGCTATGCGCGGTTGACGACCACACCCTCTTCTGCACCCTGTGCAAAGGGGTTGAGTAGACAGCTTCAGGGCTGTCGTGGTAGCCAACCGCAAGGGGTTTGACTTTGACGGCTACAACGGACTACAACGTCCAACCATGAAAACTTTAAGTAGGAAACAAGTGCAGATAGTCTGATAGCCGTTCCAAATGGAAGGGGTGGGCCAAGGTGAAAGATGCGTGCGGATGATGCCCAAACTCAGACCCATAGGCAACCCGATGTTTGAGACGTTGGAGGCTCGTACGCGGGTCCCCATAGGCCGACTAGGGCTTATTCCCTCGCCCCCTCGTCATTTCACGCTGCCAAGACTCGGGTCTACTAGCCATAACGTGCTTTTGCTCTTTCCGCTCGACCCGTAACTTTTGAGCGCGGAAATTGGCAGGCGCTGCGTGCGTGGGTTAATATAAAACCATGCGAACGTAGGACCTGCGCATACTGACTAACAATGCGGACTTGAGCAAGCAGTCGTGATGTCGGCGCACTGTGTGATGCCCATACACGAGTGGCCTCTTTTGAGCCATGGGGTCGTTGTCGATGCTCAGGCGTTGGCTAAAGCGCACGCCAAGGGGGGTAAACCTTTAGCGAGCGCAAAACCGGCTTGAGGGCCTTACCATCTTCTGCACCCTGAGGTGCCCCAAAGGGTGTGGGGTAAGATGGCCCCTAGGGCTGGAAGGGATTCGGAGCAGTGGTGAGTTGTCCGCCGCATCAACAGCAACACGCTAATCCTTCCGCCGGAACTTTATCGTTCCACCAAGATAATTTAAAACAAGGAAAAATGACAAAAAAAGTACTTGACGTTGGTAGGGGTAAATACGAGTGCCCGTCGGAACGAGTTGCTGGGGACAGCCCCTCCTCCTTGCGGCGCTTTTGTTTCCCCGGGACGGCAAGTAAATCCACGTCCTGGACAAGGACCTTGCACTCCAGGCCTGGGACTAACGTCCGACCAGATAAAATCTTTGAGTAGGGAAAAACGTAAGCGTGCGGTCGCATAGCCCTATAAGGGTCACCCGAGCGTACGCTTGCTCTGACTATCATTATTAGGATGGGAAAAAACAATCTCACTCAACAAGAAGTTGTGGGGTAGTTCACTCTCACGACAGTTGTGTGGTTTGCCCATTCGAATCCAAGCATAATCACTCAACAAGACTCAATCGAGATTCTCTCATACATACCAGCAATCATACGCACAACATTCAAATCACATCACACACATTAAAGGGGTCAACTTTCCGACCTCCTGCAGCTCACACCCTGCCTTATGCACACAAGCCTAACCATTTCCGCACCAATCCTCAACAAAGGTACTCAGTCTTTCATAAATGGTCATTTTTAAGAAACTGGGTGAAAACCCAAAGAAACATACAAATCCTGGCAAGGGCCAAGGCCTTAGGTTGAGAGGCAAGAGAGATAGGAAAGTTGAGTCGCAAACCGACGAATCGGCAACCGACCTGTTATCAGTGATAACAGAAGAGCGACCCCTTTGATGGATCAGGTTGAACAATTCAAGCCTTCAATCGAAATACGGAAACCTGCATTACAGTACAGGCCAAAGAAAAGTACTACTTATGTTTATGCTGGGGGGAAAATACTCTCCAAGTCATAGCCTAGCTTCTGTACTAGTACCAAGCCACTGAACACCTCCTCTAGCCATAATAGATCTGCTAAGTAATTCCTGGCTGAAAAATATTCCAACTTCTCAAAAATTCTGTGAAATTTCGGCAGCGCTTCCCGTAGGAAAAGTGCCTTTTCAGAAGTTCTATGAGTCCAAAAACGACTAACTCTTTCATAACTGCAGAAATTTCGGGAGCGCTTCCCGTAGGGACAGGAGGCTGTAAAGATTTATACGAGGCTGAAAGACAGGAAGGCAAAGCAAGCTATACTTGGGATTATCTCTTGACACCTGCTCGATGACTTAGAATCAATGATAGCCCGCCAAACTTCTTAGATGAGATGGTGTGCTAGCCCTGATCCTAACTCCTAGCAGGGTCAGTCCTATCTTCATCTTAAGTTCTCCCTCCCATTATCCATCTCATCTATCTATGGCTCCAGCACTTAGCGAGCATCTAAAGCAACTAGCCTATCAAAACAGACGCCCCAGAGTGAGAGCTCACAAGCATGCATAAACCAACATCTCTCACAATCCCTCATAAGTTTAATCTGAATAGTTAATTTGGTCACTCAGTTTTTTTCCTTTAATAACCCCCTTGCCTATGACATAGGATCAGACAATACACGAACTTAAGGGTATGTCCAACCTGCCTAAGTAAACAAGTAAAAGCACCTACAACTGGACTGCCCTAACTTAAGGGTATGCCCAACACCACATGAACTTTAGTCGTAAAACATACGACCAGACCGCCCTAGCTTAAGGGTACGCCTGACTTCTGCTTAACTGACGACATGAAGCATAAACTAGACTGCCCTAACTTAAGGGTATGTCTAGTCATCCTTAAACAAGGTTACGTAGGGCATAGGATTAGGCTGCCCTAACTTAGGGGTATGCCTAACCTGCCTAAAACAAATACGAACGACGAATGGTCAGACCGATCTAACTTAAGGGTACGTCCAACCTACATAATATCAACGACTAGAACATATCACTAGGCCGTCCTAACTTAAGGATACGCATAGCCAGCTTAAACAGTTTTAGGTACATAAGACAATATGACCAGGTCGCCCTAACTTAAGGGTACGCCTGATCTGCCTGAACAAAGTACAAACGACGTATGACTAAGCCGCCCTAACTTAAGGGTACGCTTAGCCTCCGCAACGACAATATAAAAGAACAACCATTGGTATACTTGCACAAACTTTATATGTTTCTCTCTTATTAGGTAGATGATCAGACGTACCCAACTTAGAGAGATATCCAATCTTGCCTTGTGTTTAGAAGGGAAAATAAAAGAAGATTTGTACTAACTCTCTGCGCCTTTGTATTATTACGAGCATAGGACTGAACCGCCCTAACTTAAGGGTACGCTCAGCCTGCCCGGGTTACCTTCATTATATTCTTCACTCATCTCTCTTCTTTTTTTGTTCTATCTGACTTACTGGTTGACTTTCCCAACTTAGGGTGCCCGGTCTGCCAGATGGTATAGATTCGTACAATATATATCGAATTTTTCTACTCTGGTTGACCTTCCAATTCATAGCTTATAGCTAAGCCGCCCCAAGTTAGGGGGACGCTTAGCCTTATGCCTTTGTCCCCCTCAGAAAAAACACACACAGAACTGGGACTACGCAACTTAGAATATCCCAAGCTCTGTCCTTAGCAACGCAAAAGAAACATCAGGATTTTGAGTCCTCCCAACTAAGGGGGTCCATCCTCCTGTTTAGAAACCCTAAAAAAAAACAAGTGACTGGACCGTCCAACTTAGGATAGACCCTGCCCAAAATATCATACAGTCAGCCCGACAAACATAAATAAAACACAACACTGAGCACACATCAACTTAGAGGAGCTCAGCCTTGGGTTGACCCATTCAAACGCATGCAAACACCTTCCTCCCACCTTCCCCCAGTTCCTTTTACCTGAGTTCATTCAAATGTTTATCTGAACTCTGATATGTACTTGTTCATTTACCTTTTCACAACACCTGTCCTGACATACATAGCAAAACAAAAAGTAATATCATGTCCTAGTATAATTCAGATAACCCAAGGATAATAGTTAGGGGAAGGGATTACACGCGTCAGACGAGATTATACCTGAAGTTCCCTGCCTCCAGAACCCCGCCTGGGTTCCRGCAGAGCTCCCRCAATCGGTGGGTGGACCTCCCACAAGGTCTTGATGCGGACCTAYGGGTTGCAATCCCGCCTGCCGCCTTCCTCTCGTAGCCTTAGATCAGAYTGAGAGTAAGAAGGATAGAAGGAGACAGGTTAGACTCTCGAGATCCAAGGGTGGGACAACTCAACTCACAATGAGAGGGCCTTGAAATYTGGATGCSCCTGAGGACCCCGCAAYGATGGCCAAC